AATAATAAAGAATATATTTATCTAATAAGTTTATATAATTATAATAAGAAGATATAACTAGATATATTATAAGTATTAAGGGTTATTCTTATAAAGCTCTAGCTAGTAATCTACTGCCTTAATATATACTAGGCTTTTTTTAGATATAATAACCTCTTTCTAATTCTTATAATATTTATCCCGAATTATATTACTAATATATATAATTTTATTAGAGAATCGGTTATAAAAAGCTAAGTAATCCTAATTAATTTAGTTAAGGTACTAATTATATCTATAAGTAAAAATGCCCTCTTAAATACCTATCCCAAAAAGAGCCTTTCCCGAATATTAAAATATTATTTTCTAGAGATATTAAAATAATTTTGGACTTATAAAGACTAGTTTTATATTAAAAATAAAAGGTAATATTATAAGAAGCATAATTAAAACTTTATATTACTTGTAAGGTATACTAAGTACTAGATTTATAGTAAATATTTATTTAAAGGCTACTAAATATTTGAGAATATTTAGAGAAGTAAAATTAATCTAATATTCGGTTAGTAACTTCTAAAAAGGTTAGTAATTAGTAGCGGTTAGCTAGTAATTTGAGCCCTAATTACTAGCTTCTTCTAAGTAAGCTTTTAACTTATTAATAAAAGTAAAAGAAAAATAATACTTTTTATAGATACTAAAGAAATAATATATAGTAAATATAAGTATATAAAATAGGCAAAAATGCCTTATAAAGTAGATATTTCATATTTTTTTAAAAGTCTTTATAGTACTCTTGCTATATACCCGAATTATCTTATTAATATTTAGATTCCGGACTAGTTCCTCCAAGAACTTACTAGTTAAAGGCTTATAATTTGCTATATTATATATTTTCTTAAAGCTATTATATACCTATAAGTATATCTAGCCTTAGTAATACTTATAGTAATATCGGGAAATTACTAGTATTATATTAGTAATATCTCGGAATATAGTAGTTATATAAAAGATAGGCTTTATAGACTTTCTATACTTGCCTAAGTTAGCCTATTTAGTAAAGGCCTTAAGATAGCAAGTATAAAGAAAATATATAGTCGGGATATATTTATTAGTATTAAGTAGCTACTTAAGTAATATAAATTAGGTTAAGATAATTTCTTTTACTAAATTAGTATAGATTTGGGACTAATCTAGTTTTAAAAAATCAAGAACTAGAAATAGTATAGAAATAAAAGTATCTTATATCTCTAATAAGGTATTAGCCTTAAAGTTAAGTTTAGTATTCTTATTTAAAAAGTAAATACAAGTATTATAATATAGCTTATTATTATAAAAGAGAAGTTATTAAATAATATTATACTAAATTACTTATAGTATATGACCTTAAATTATATAATAAAGAAGTATTACCTTAGCTTAAATATTATTATTATATATAGAACTAATATTCTCTTATTAGTATGCCTTGGCTTTAAGTTTAGTATATTTCTAATTAAAAGAAATATACTAGTAACTTATTAGTAAAATATTACGGAATATAGCTAGTAAAAGAATCTTATTAAACTAATATTAGAAAATAGAAAATGAAGCGCTACTATTATATCTAGGAAATATAGTCTTCTTTATAGGGTTCTATATAGAAAAAAAGAAAATATAAATATAAATATTCTTATAACTAATTATATAACTAAAGTAATAGTAAGGCACCTTATAAAAGGCTATTTTCTGGATCTTGGGCCGGTTAGGATTTATTATAGAGTTAGTAATATTTATATATAAATACATAGAAATAGAGATATTTTATTAAAAACGAGAGTATAAGTTAACTTAAATTCCTTATTAGGCAAAAGAAAGGCAATTAGCATACCTATAAAAGCTATTAATATTATATTATCTTAAATTTTTATAGCGGTTTATCTAAGAATAAAATATATATAAATACGAGTAATAGTCTGAAATATTAGCTACTAGTTTGGTATTGTTTTTATTATAATTTACCTGTAATATATTAAAGTTAAGCTTATAAAGGGTACTATTATCTGAATTATTATTATTATTATTTGTAACCTGGCTATTAGGTAAATAGTTATTATTATTATTTATAATAAGACTAGTAAATATAGCTTGCTAGTTAATATCCCTAATTATTATATATTCTTACTAATTTATTATTTGCTCTAGATATAATAGTTTACTATTTTATTTACTAAGACTATAATTCGAAAGGAAATTATAGTATTATAGAAGTATAATATATTATTTAGTAAAATAAAAGAAATCTTGTCTATTATTAAACTCGGTATATTATTTATTTATATATTTTTGGAAATTAAATAGATAATAAGCTAGCTCCGAAATATAGTTAATTAGCGGCCTATTAGGTCTAGTAATCTTGGTTTATAATTAAGCTTCTAATTCCGCCTTATTCTTACTATTACTCTTATTCTTGTTTTTAGTCTTAGTATTCTTATTATTAATAATTTGGTTATTCTCGGTATTATTATTATTTTTATTAATACTATTATTATTATCTGAATAAGGTATATTAGGGGTCTTTTCGGGAATAAAGTCGGGATTATTACTATTATTATTATTATTACCCGGAAGTAGTTAGTCTAGGAAATGCCCGAGACTAGGCTAGTTACTATTTATAAAAAAGGAAATATTTGCCTATAATTTGCTATATAGCTTCTGGCTATTAGGCTCCGTTTTGCTATTATATTCTGGGGAACTATTATTAAAATTATTAATACTATAATTACTATTATCTAAAGTTATATTATATAGTAAGAGATTATAATTCGGTAAGGGATCCCTATTCCGGTCTTATAAATTTAGAGGTTCCAGATTAGTACTCTAGTAAATAGTTAGTATTTAGAGAATAGATTATTAACTTTCTTAAGATTAACTAATAGGTTCTAATTTTTTATTACTTATATATTATAAATACCTAATCCTATAGGCCTTACTAAATTCATAGCTTATTTATATAGCAGGCTCTATAAAATATATATATGTCTGTCCCTTATTTCTCGGTTATAAGTATCTAGGAGATTCGTATTTATAGTGGATTTACGAGAATATGGTTATTAATTCGGTAGTAATTAGCTAGAAAGCTATTATATTTTCGGAAGGATTATAAGATAGGGTAGTACTTGTAATACTTGGGCTCAAGTAGGGAGTTTTTTGGGTCTTACTAGGGATCTCTTAGGTCTTTTTATAATATTTACTATTAGGTAATTATTATTTAATATTTCGTTCTCGGATTCTCGTAGATAAGTAGGTAGTAATTTCTTATTTAGTTAGTAATAACTTAGTACTTTGCTTTTAAATTCTAGCAGATTTGCAAATAGTAGGCTCTTATATTATATAAGACAGGCCTATATTCTATAATAAAAGTCCTATAGAATTAGATATAGATCTTTAATATCTGGTTAATAATTCTTATATATTTCGAGGTCGAATTAATAGTATTTAGAAGCCAAGTAGCTTTATACTTAAAGTACTTATAGTATTTAAATATTCTTGGATATAGTAAGAAGGTAATATATATAAAGAATTAGGCTATTATATAATTAGAGTTAAAGAGGTTAGTATATCTAAGAAAAGAGGTTATAAAAAAAAAGAAGATTATTAAGAAGAAGGTTATTAAAGAAGAGGTTATTAAGAAAAAGATTACTAAATAGTATTTAAAGAAGCTAGGAAAAGGCATATATTAGTTATTAAATCTATAGTAAATAAAAGAAGCTTAAGGGAATATAAGTAAGTAAATAATAACCTATTAAATTAGGATCTGGAACTTATTAATACTTTTCTTACTAGTATACTTATCTAGTTATATTACTTTTATATCTTATTTCTTTCTTTTCTTTTTTGCTTTTCTTTAGGTAAGATATTCTTAGAGAATTAGATTCAGAAATAAAAGATTAAAATCCGGTAATAATTTACTAAGGGTTCAGGAATAAAAGGCTATTAAAGAATTAGCTTATTTAGGAGTAATATCTAAAAAAGTTATTATTAATTATATTAAGAATAAAAAGAGTTTAGATTTAGGAAATATCTCTAGCCTTAATTTCTAAGCAAGTTCTAAACTCTCGGTAATAAATTTATTATATATATTATAATATATTAAATCCTAAAATATATATTTTCTATTATAATATATATAATTAATTTAGTACTTAATTTATAGCCTTTTAGGGCCTTAAACTAATATAAAGAAAGTTATTAATAATATAATATTGGTTTTATTAAGATATATATATTATATATATTATGCTTTTTTGGCTCTTAATATATATATTCTTATTATAAAATCGTAATTAATCTACTATATAACTAATATATAATATATAGCTATAATCTTTTAAAAACCTGGTAATATATAATTATTTTAGTACCTAACTTATAGCTATTTACTTATTATTTATTAAGTTATTACTAATATTACATATATTATGCTTTTTTGGCTCTTAATATATATACTCTTGCTATAAAATCGCAATTAATCTGCTATATAACTAATATGTAATATATAGCTATAATCTTTTAAAAACCTAGTAATATATAATTATTTTAGTACCTAACTTATAGCTATTTACCCGTTATTTGTCGAGTTATTACTAATATTACATATATTATGCTTTTTTAGCTCTTAATATATATACTCTTGCTATAAAATCATAATTAATCTGCTATATAACTAATATGTAATATATAGCTATAACCTTTTAAAAACCTGGTAATATATAATTATTTCGGTATCTAACTTATAGCTATTTGCCCGTTATTTAATATCGAGTTATTAACTATATAATTTTGGTAAGGGAGCTTCTTACTAACGTATGTTTTTCAAAACCGCCTCGCTTACGTGCCCGCTTTTCAGGCATTTGACTATAAGGCTGATATCATGGGCTATTGGGAGCTTTTGTAACGCGGTGGAAAGGTTGTCACATTGTACGGTGAGCCCGAGTTCTGTAAGGGGCGGGTCGTGGACGGTGAAGTCTCGTTCTAAAGGTTAGCTGATAAACGCTTCGGCAGGTCTTCTCACTAGCTCAGCTATCAAGGCTGTGGTCGTAGTGATAATTGCAACCATGCTATTATTCAAGTTTGAGGGCTATGAAAAGCTAAGAAGAATGGACGTGGCGATAGCGTGGATACCTCTAATTCTAGTGGATTTTGTAATAGTTGAGTTTTTAATTGCAGTGGTATCCTGGTACCCCACCAAATATGCGGCCTGGTGTGCGGTGTTAATGAGCGTACAACTTGCCGCCTTGTTGGCGGGTTCAATAGGAATAGCAGTCTGGATGTGGAACTCGATAAGCATTAAAAGTGGCCTAGGTGGAGAAGAGAAGAGAGTAGTTGAATATGACGAGCACCTGCCAGGATCACGTACAGACGTGGCCAGAGCGTGCTTATTCTTCGGGAATAGTCCCTTTCGTGGCCTATGCGCTGCGCTAGGTAGTATAAAACGTGTCAAAAAGGGAGAGAGAGCACGGTATTGATTGATCTGTCTTTGGGAATAGAGTATATCCTCAAGAATTCGTCGTTCACCCTGCTTCTTACTTGCGTAGCACCCTGCCATTCAGCCCTTCACAATAATTTATATAAAAAATTACCTAAAAGAAAAGAGCTAAGGGCCTCTTTTCTTAAGAAGTTATAAACAGTTTACTAGTATTAAGGATTTTAACTAGTCTTTCTACTTCTGCTATTATAATTCGCTTTTTAAAAAGGCAAGACTTCTCGATGAAATGCCTCTAAAAGGGAATTTTCCGGCCTAGCGAAAAAGAGCACTAGAGTGACATACGTAGTGATCGTACCCGTGCATAAGCGGTTGAGTGGTCACCTAACAGGGGCGCTAACATGCCTGTGCCCAATTAGAGGCCGAAGTTAAAATACGGCGCTTCGCAACAAATATTTAGCCTAAGCCAGATCCCAGCGATTCTTCGTTCCCAAACACCAATTTCTTACCTGTCGCTACTGTAGAACGCACCAATGCCTCTAAGTTCTCATTACTCTGAGTTTAAACCCAACGAGTTTTCTGCTTTTCTCGTTAAGGTGGAAAGCTCCTCCTCGGCAATATTGGCAATAAGGACGATTGGAAGCGACACGAGAACTGTCGGCATTTCATCCAGAAATGTGGCAATGACGAAGGAAGCTCGAAGCCGATGAATGGCTACTAACGGCAGGCTTCCCAGGAACACTTGAAAAGAGCATGCAGCTGAGCATCCCCAAGCACATTATTAAAGTTATCCAAACATGAGGCAATTGGAACTGGCAGTCAAACTCAGCAATTATGAAGAGCAGATATTATAATTGAAACCTCGAAGCAAAGTGACTAAATTTAATAAAGAATCCCGCTCATTCGTCGCCTCTGGTCCTCTTTCGGCTTGGGCCCTCATCTAATTCTGACAAACTTCCAGCAAATTCATCTATCCCGCCTTCCCGCTCAATGCCAAGTCGTTCATTTTCCTTCCTCAATATGTAATTCGCCCTTTCTAGCTGGATTGCTTCCGTCTGGAACTCGTTCTTGTCCTCTAAATTCAGTCAGATAATTCTATTTAATATTACAGACAAATAATTTTACTATATAATCCAGGCTTAGCGAAAATCCAGGATTATAGTAGATTAATCCATTTAAGCCTGAATTATAAGGCTTATAATCCGAATTAATCTAGGATTAATCTAGGTATTAATCTAAGCCTAAATTCTTAGTTAGCTTCCTCTTCTTTAACTACTTCTTCTTCCTTTCTCTTAATATTATTCTTTTATATTATATAATAATTAAAATATCTTTTTTACTTAATACTAAATTTTTAATTACTTCCTTTATAAAAGCTTTTACTTTTACTTCTTATTCTAAAAAAAAGAATATAAAATTATCTTATATTTAGGCTTATACTTAAGAGCCTTTAAATAATAAAGATATATACTTATTATACTATTCTTATTATAAAATAAATATAAATATAAAACTATATAATTTTAATAACTTATTAGTTATAATAAAGTATATTAGTTAATAATATTTAACTATTAATATTAAGAAGCCTATAAGTAAAAAGGATTAAATTATAATAAAATAACTCTAATATCTTTATAATTAAGCTAAGAGTAATAAAAGTATTTAAGAATTTAATAAGAAGATTCTTAAGTCTTATTTAAATAAAAATATTATTTTAAAAGCTCTTATTACTTTTATTATTATATAAAACCTTATATTTAATATAATAAAATAACTAGAATTTTATATCTTTTACTAAGTATTTAATATCTTTAATATAAACCTTATTTTAAAGTTATATTTAATAATTTATATAAATATTAAAAAAACTTAAAAGAATTATAAAATACTATATAAAAGATACTTTAGTCTATACTTTTATATATTTATATTTCTCTTAATATTTAGACTTTTCTAAATTAATATCTTTTTCTTAGTATTTATACTTACTTTATCTTATATAACTAAAAGAAGAAAAAGGCCTTTTTTACTTTAAAAAAAATACTAAAGTAAGGAAATAACTAAATCCTAAAACCGAGTATATAAGAATATTATATAAGTAATATATATCTAAAGTAAAGTATATATTATATTACTTTTTTATTCTTTAAGAGAAAAGAATTAAGCTAAATATAAGAGAAAGAGAGTCTAAAGCTAGAAAAATAATTCTTCTATAAAATCTTTATTTTCCTTACTATAATACCTAATTATAATAATAAAGATTAGTTCTTTATTCTTTTTTTTATTTTATAAGACTATAATATTATTAATAAACTTAAAGCTATTATAATTAATAATATTACTTTAAATAATATTCTTTATTATATAATTAAGGCTTATATAATAAAAGAAATAAATAAAGAATAGCTTATAAATACTTAATAAATATAATATATTAATTATATTATTAACTTAGTTATATAAGTTTTTTTATTTATTAATATAATAAATATAAAAAAGCTAAAGTCTTATAATCTTTAAAATATAAATAAAGAGCTAGTAAATAAGAAGTTAAAGAAAGCTTAATTTAGGTTCTTAGGCTCTTTTAGTTAAGTATATTATAGTAAAGAAAGCAAGAATTTTATAGAAGAATTATTTTTCTAGCTCTAGGCCTTCTTTTTCTTATATTTAATCTAATTCTTCTCCCTTAAGAAGTAAGAAAGTAATATAATATATATTTTACTTTAGATATATATTATTTATATAATACTCTTATATACTTAGTTTTAGGATTTAATTATTTCTTTATTTTATTAATAAGTAATATAGGGAGATTTAGTAATAATTAATATCTCTTAATAAATTTAATCCTCTAATTCCTTTATTTATATTAAGAATAATAATAAAATAAATAATTAAAGATAATAAGATAAATTTTAATAACTAGAAATAAGTAATATTTAAAATCCTAAAGAATATAGAAATTATAAAGAAGGTATTAGAGAAAGTATTTAGCTAAGTATTAGAGCTTATATAATAAATATAAAGAAAGTAAGAAAATTAATATATCTTTAAAGAAATAATATTTTAGTAAGATATTCTAGTAATTAAAGTAATATTAATAATAGAACTAATACTATAATAATAAAATATACTAATTATAACTTTTAGTTTTTTAAAAGGAAAAAAAATTATAGTATATACTAAGAAAAGATTATAGGAGTATTTTTAAAATTAGGGATTAGTTTAAAAACTAATAAAAGCTATTTTACTTAAATTAGTACTAGTAATCCTAGTATTACTTTTAATTCTAATAATTATTTTTTAGACTTTTATAAAAGAACTAAGTTAATTAATTAATTAAGAATAAAGTAGCTTCTTAAGCCTAGTTTAAGAAATATATAATAAAAAGAAAGCTAAGAAAAAACTTAAGATAATACTTATAAATAATTCTTTTATAAATAGTAAAAAAGAATTAGAAATCTAAAGTACTATATAAGATAATAATCTTTTATTTATTAAAACTAGATTCTTTAACTAAATATCTTAAAAATAAGAGTATTCTATAAATATTACTAATTAATATAAATATAAGCTAGTTAATTCTCTTTCCCTTATTAAGAGAAAGATTCTCTTTCTAAGAAACTAGTCTAAAAAAAGTATATTTATAATAAATACTCTTATCTAAAATACTCTTTTAGAAGAATTACTAATTAATAATATTTATCTAAAAGCTATTTAATTAAATACTATAACTATTATTATACTTTAGTTCCTAATACTTATACTAGATTTAGTAAATATTTCTTATTTTAAAGAATCTAATATTACTAAGTTCCTTAAGTAATTTAAAGATCTCTATAAGAAGTATAATATTAAAGAGAAAGACTATAAAAAAAAGCTTCTAAAGTACTATAATACTCTCTAATAAGAAATTATTAAGTCTTTAACTAAGTATAATAATAGTACTTAGAATAAGTTAATAAAAGCTATAAAAGTAAAGTTTTATAAAGATAATTATTATTAGATAATTTATTTAATTATTTTCCTTAATAAGTTTATATAAACAAAATAGAATAATTCTTAATTAAAAGATTATTACTAATAGTATATATTTATATCTAAGTACTTAGTAACTTAGAAGATTTTATCTAAAATTAATTAGAAATATCTTTTTCTCCTTAGTTTTCCTTAAAAATATTATAAATATATTCTAGTAAAGTACTAAGTTAATAATACTAATCCCTTAATTTTTTAGAAATTCTAAGAATTTAAAAATAATATTATTATCTTTACTTATATTAATTAAATAAACTAAATACTAGAACTTTAAAAGAATTCTATAAAAGTATTTAAGAAAAAGATTTCTAACTTAGCTTAAAAAAAGACTTAGATATTTAAGATTCTAGAATTATTAAAAAAGCTTACTTTTATAGTCCTAATTAAATCTACTAAAAAGATCTAAATAAATAAATTAATTTATAAAATAGAAATACTAAAGATTTATCTTAGTAATATAAATAAAATTATATAAGATAATAATTTTTTTCTTATATAATCTTATATTAATTCCTCTAGATTAAATATAAACTTATATAAAAGAAATATTTACTTATTTAATATAATTCCCCTAGTAAATATCTAGAATTCTAAATACTTTTATTACTAGAATCTAGATTATATATTTTCTTTTTATAAATTTAGAAAAGATTATCTAGAATACTTATATAATTTTAAATATAATATTTATTATATTAATTATAATAGAAAACTTTATTTTAGTTCTTAAAATATAAATATTAGATTCCTAGAATTTAATAAAATTAAATCCTAATCTTAATAAATATATATTCTAATAATAGGAATTAAGTATAATATTAACTCTTAGAATTATTCTTTTTTAAAAATTTATTC